GACCTATTTGTTCTCTAACCGGGGCTCAAAATGTCCCATGGAGCTGCCAGCAAAACCCAACCCGTCTAAGAGCCCTCTTTATATCTGGTCCCAGCCCTGTTCAGCAGCCCCCCTGTTCAGTGGCGCCCTGTCCGGCCCTTGGTTCCCTTTAAGCCTTTAAGCCCTGATCCCTCATCAAAACCTCATTAAAAGGCCATGTTAATCTTCTCTGTATCGTTCCAATTTTAACGGATGTCCCGAAGGACCCTCCTCCTCTTTTTCTTGTCGACCCCTTTTTGTTTTTGTTTTTTGGGGACATGATGCCATCCATTTCTGCTGGCTTTTCAAGATTTGAGGGTTGGCACTGAAGCAGTGACAATGGGTGCAGTGGAAAATGGGCCGCGCTGCATCGCTCACCAAATGTGTAAAATTTATAAAAAATTGTGAGTGTATCTTCAGCTAGAAAGAAGCATTCAACATGTTGTCTTCTTCTTCTTCTTCTTCTTCTTCTTTTTTTTTTTTTTTTTTTTTTTGCATCATATGCCGGACCGGGTCCGGCGTCCCTTACACTTATTCCGTGGCCTTCGGGCTGAACGAGGCACTTCACATTTATGACTTATCATGAGGTGAACCGAGGCACACTCGGCCAAAATTTTGCCAAAAAACCTTCCCGAAAATGGAAAGACGCAACCTTTTTTTTTTTTTTTTTTTTTAAATAGAAACAGCCCATGCTGATGCCAGGGGTGCTGACAGAAGTGGAAAGATGCAATGAACTGACACTTCGTAAATGACCAAACTTTTTTTTTTTTTTTTTTTTTTAAATAAATGACCAAACACGAAATTTAAATATGATGGAACACGAAATATGAATAAATTTCACCAATCATTAGCTTTGAAGTTTGAATATTTGGAATTCCTTTAAAATATGATGAAACACGAAATTTAAAAGGCTTACATTACATATGATTTTAAATTTCAAATTCGAATCCAATTTAACTTAACATTCTACGCCAGCCAATGTGAATGCCTTGTCGATGTATCTGGTCGGGTAACGGACCATGAATACATCGGAAGCAACCAACTACTCTTTACAGAGAGCTCACTGCCTAACATACAGGTCATGCTTTCGTGAAGGAATTGAGGCTACAACCCTCCCTCCCTCTCTCTCTCCCTCCCTCCCTCCCTCCCTCCCTCCCTCCCTCCCTCCCTTATATACTCCTGTCTTTCCATCCCTCCTTTCTTTCAATCCATTGCTTCAGTCCTTCACCGGAAAGACATGGAAAACAACACAGCTATCGGGCCTCGCGCTCCACTACTACTCTCGACACGCACAAATGACAAAAATCACAGCGGTGTATCTTTCCATGTTCTAGCAGAAGATTCACTCTCGTTTTGCACATTTCGAGACTAGTGGAGCCAGGCCCATATTCTTTACACAGAGCTTAGTGCTTAAATTACAGGCCATGCCTTTGTGAAAAGAATCAAGGCCACAGCCCTTACTTGCCTTATATCCTCTTTTCGTTCCGTCCTCCCTCGTCCTCTTTTCGTTCCGTCCTCCCTCGTCCTCTTTTCATTCCGTCCTCGTCCTCCCTCGTCCTCTTTTCGTTCCGTCCTCGTCCTCTTTTCATTCCGTCCTCCTTTTTTTCCGTCTTTTCCTTCCGTCCTTTCATTCATTACTACACAGAGCAGCACTTTTCACCTTGATGATCGCAAAGGTGGTCCCCACCGCCACTGCATAAGTTACAGCCAATAAGTGGTTGACATGTGCTGATCCATTTTTTGTGAAGGTGGTCCCCACCGCCACCTTAATGACCTACGTTAGTGCGCTTAGTCTCACCCCACCTTACGATTCTCTTAGATCCATAAGACCATCTTTGTGAAGGTGGTCCCCACAAAATGCATAAGACAAGAGTTCCACTCATGTGCACCTGTGTGTATTCTTTTTTTTTTTTCTCTCCTCCTCCTCCTCACCCTTTTTTTTCTTCTCCCTCTCTTCTCCTTTTCTCGTCTCCTCTCCTGTATTCTCTTTATACTTCAAATTTCAGAAAATTAAATCCACCACCCTGCTGATGCTCGCAAACAGGGAATCTCAACAGCTTAGATGCACACACAGAACTGGAATTCCCCATGACCCAACTTGTCATCGGGAACGACCCCTTAGCACAGACGTCGAAGATAAAAAAGCACCCGTCAATGCACCATCTCTCTCTCTCTCTCTCTCTCTCTCTCTCTCTCTCTCTCTCTCTCTCTCTCTCCCC